CAAAGTTGAATTTATCCCAGGGATGAAAGGATGGTTCAACATATGTAAATCAATAAATGTAATATCCAATTATAAGAGTGTCAAGGAAAAACCATAAGATCAATAGATGCAGAGAAAGCATTAGACAAAATTCAACACCCATTCATGATAAACCCCGCAGAAAACTGTAACAGTTGGTCTTTACCTCAACTTGATAAATGCTATCTATGAAAATTCAAAAGCCAATATCATACTAAATGGTCAAAAACTGAAAATCTTCATGCTAAAATCAGGAACAAGACAAGGATGGCCACTATTACCACTCCAGTTCAATATAGTTTTGAAAACATTAGCCACAGCAACTAGACAAGAGAAAGAAAAAAAAGCAATAAACATAGGAAAGAAAGACATTAAAATGTCATTATTTACTGATGAAATGATACTTAGAAGACCTGCAAAACTCTACCAAAAGACTTCTAGACTAAACTGACAGATTCAGTAGTGTAAAAGTATACAATGTAAAAACTCAAAAATCAATAGCCTTCATGTACACAAACAACAGCCTCACATGAGAGTGAAATTTAGGAAAGAATCCATTTCTCAATAACATCCAAAAAATGAAATATCTAAAAATCAATCTAACAAAGGAAGAAAAAGACCTCTACATTGAGAAAAAGAACACTCTGCAAAAAGAGATAAAAAACGATATAAGAAAATGGAAAGACACTCCTTGTTCTTGGGTGGGAAAAACCAATATAGTGAAAATGGTTACATTTCCAAAACTGGTATACAGTTTCAGTGTGATCCCAATTGAACTCCCAATGGTATATTTCACAGAACTAGAGAAAACAACCTAAAAATTCATTTGGAACCAGAAGACCCCTAGACTAGCAAAAGTAATTCTGGCAAAGGAGACATGGCAGGGGGTATCAAGATCCCCAACTTGAAAGTATACTACAAAGCCACTGTGATAAAAACAGCATGGTACTGGCAAAGAAACATACCCAAATATAAGTGGAATAGATTAGAAAATGCAGAAACAACTGACATACTCAGCTACCTAATCTTTGACAAAGGAACCAATCAACCTCACTGGCGGAAAGATAGTCTCTTTAATAATTGGTGTTGCAACTTTCCAAAGGTTAAAACTAGACCCCTACCTTTTACTGTGCACTAAACTAAAATCCAAACAGATTACAGATATAAATTTAAAAACAGAAACACTATACTTGCTGGAAGATTATTTAGGTAGAACTCTTGAAGATACTGGCATAGGAAAAGACTTCATGAACAAATCCTCAGTAGCATGGGAACTAGAACAAAGAATAAACAACTGGAATCTCACTGTTTAAAAGAGCTTGTGCACTGCAAAAGAAGTTAACAATAGGGCTAACAGACAACCTACAATGTGGGAAAAAATTTTTACCAGCTGTTCCTCAGACAAAACCTACTCTCTAGAATATATAAAGAACTAAAAACAATGACAAAAATAACAATAACAAAAAACCCAGACCCCTCAAGTATAAAGACACAATTCAAAAATGGGCATCTGAATTAACAGAAATTTCTCAAAGAAATAAAAGCAGAAAATAAACATGTGAAAAAATGTTCAACATCATTGGTCATCCATAGTTGTTGGAGGGGTAGGGGAAAGGTTAGAAGGGAAAAGGAAAAATAAGAAAAAAGGAAAAACATGGAAACAGAGTCTTTGTAAATAGGGAAGGACGGAGGGGGTGAAGGGAGGGCCAGGGAATGGGGAAAAACAAGAACAAAGATACATCATGTAAAGGTACAAGATCCCAATGATGAATGTAACTATACTGTATACCTAAATGTACCAATAAACTTAATGAAAAAGTTATATATTTATATCCTCTAAGATAATTTGAGATAAAAATTAAAGCATGAGATAGAAATAAGGTATTTCTTCAGATGGGCTATCAAAATATTTATAGCACAGATAGTAATTTCAGGAAATTACTTTTCAATTTCCACTAATATCAGCATCCTTTTTTTATTACAAGATTGTTAGTTCCTTGTGTAGTGAAGTATATTTAAGGTAAAAGAATTAATTTGAAGCTCATATTTATCTAGGAAAGACATTTGGGAAATTATACCTTGAATGTATTTAGGGATCTATAACAAATAAATCATTTGTTTATTTTATGCCTTCATTTTATATAATTATTGAAAGATATGAATGTACTCTTTTTTTATTCATTGTTTCCTGATACATTTTAGGTATACAATACGATGACATTTATTATTGGGATCTTTTAACTTTACATGGTATATCTTGGTTCTTATTTTTTTCCTCATTCCCCTGCCCTCCCTTCAACCCCTCCACCCTTCCCTATTTACAATTACTATTGCTGGTGTGAAAAACTGGAAGCATAAAAGGATAAAAATGTATAATGTGATAGAGGAAGAAATGGTCCAAAGGGGAAAGGGAAGTGGGAGGGGTAGGGGAAAGGAAAGAAGGGATAGGAAAAAATATGAGAAAAGGAGAAAAGGGAGTCTGCTCCTGATATCAAATGTTATATAAAGTCTCACTTATTTGAATTAAATTCAAACGTATATTTTAAAATATTAATAAATCACTTAAAAATAGAATGTCTTAGAATTTCAGCAAGCCAGTGAGGTGTTTTAATATGTGTGCATTAATTCTACTATTTTAATAAATTATTATTTTTTCCTACAGTACTAATATGTATGTGTTTTCCAATTTTGTCAGTAGTTGGTGTTTGAAAAATTCACAAGAATAGAGTAGGATGCTGTTTTTTTCTGTTTTCTTTCTTTTTTTTTTTTTTTTTTTTTTTTTTTTGCTGTTTTTAGAATACAAGGTAAGCTGTTATAATAAAAACATACCAAATTATAGTAACTCAAACAAAGTGAAGGTATATTTTTACTCTGATTTTTTCTCATAAAGGTTGGGCATATGAATCAGGGTTGTATGATGGATGGTTTGGTCACGTTGAATTCAAAGACTCCTCTATCTTGCTGATCTACTAACACACTTCATAGCCCTAGATGCAGGTCCATGCTCCTATTCCAACCCTCATTCACATACCAGCTTCAGGAAAGGTGGCAAGAAGAGATTTAAGGCTGAAACTTCTTTTGTTCGTGGGGTGGATTAACTATGGACAATGTGGAATGCCCCTTTGAGCTGAATTGGCATGGTGTGAGTGTGGAAGACCCATCTGAGGATTGCTGCCAATGGTATAAGAAGAGAACTGGAGGGGAGGATCTAAGGCTGTGATTTCCTAGGAAAAGCTTGCTGCAGATGGTTTTCCTGACAAAAACTTGGCTGTTCTTGTCTGAGGAGGAGCTTGGGGCCTCCCTATCACTGGGAATGACTATGCTCCTCCCAGGGGAGCTCCAATATTCACCATGAGCAGCACTTCCAGGCTCCAGTGTGGACCCCTCCGTCTGGTGGCACAAATTCTTCATCTCACCAGCACAGGATTTCTGGCTTCCACCACTGGCCTTTGGGGCTTCCTGGAGCAGATCCTCAATACAGACTTGCATGAGGCATTGCTAGGGGCACTAGCTCATGGACTGTACTCACAGAGGGCATTGCCTTAGCCTTTAGGCCTTCAGCTGGAACTATGTTGGACATTGCTCTGGGATCCAGGTCCTTGGCTGGAGTCTTTGGGTCTATAGTCTGCTGCTAATCTCTTGCACTCCTCTATATTTGACTTTTGGGTGACTATAATAAAATAATCCTATAAATTATGTGTCCTGTATTAAATATATTTCCCTTTCAGACCCTGACTACAACAGTTCTCTTATCATTTTTCATCACCTAGGTAAGTGCCATATGTGGTAGAAATTATGTTGAAAAGTGCAGTGTCTACTCTGACTGTTTATGCCTCCTTGTTCATGTAAAAATACAGATCTGTTTTCATTAAAGATGGAGTTAGTGGCTTTAACTGTACACTATCCATAGAATAGCATCATCCTATTCAGTTACATGAGTGTCTATATGGTGCATCAGTGTAATGATTATCACATTTTCATCCTTCTGGCTACACCCTCTACCTAGGTAATTGTGATGGTGAAAAAGTTACTATGGCTCATGCTATATTCAAATCTAAATGGCTATAATTTGTGCTTAACAAAACCCAGAAAAACCAAAAAAAAAAGCAAGTTTATATTAATATTTCATTAATAATGCCCTTCATTAGATTAGTAAAGTTGCCCTTAATGACATAGTACTACATAATTTATGTTATTTTAAAATTACATATTTAATTATATGTTTAACTATAAAAAGAATATAATTATATTTTGAATGCATAAATACATCTTTATAACACTTTTTTTTTTTACTTTCATGTGGATTTGCTTCCATTTTCCTCTGGAAAACATCCATTATTAATCCCTTTGCAGACTGTATAAACAGAAAATTTTCTGAGTTATATATGTCCAAAAATGTCTATTTTACATTTACTCTCAAATAATGCCTTATAGTTTCAGAGTTTTATACCAAATCATACTATACAAGTGCTTTGAGGATATTGTAGCACTATTTTCTTGTAATATGATTAATTGTAAGCTATGCATTGAAAACAGTACCTCTTCTCTGACAGCCTTAGCAATCTTATTTTTAACTTTAATGTTCACAAAATACCCTATGGTGAGACTAGCGTGGAATTATTATTCTAGTATATTCTTCCTATCACCAGACATCTCATCTGTATGATCTGTTTCATTATCCATTCGTGTAATCTTTAAAAAGCTACACATTTCTATTTCTTTATTGTTTATTCCTGTAATACCAAGTACAAGGATATTGAGATTTATGTATCTATGTTTTATGACTCTTAGAATAAGAGTCATTTTTTTTTTTTTTGAGGTTAGGAGATATTTTATTGACAACCAGGGACACAGCCATAAGAGTGGGAAGCACACAGGACTGCAAACTAAAACCCAATAGCCAGCGAAGGCCCTTTGGGCCAAGAGCACTGCATCCCGGGGTCCTCATAGTCTCCCACCAGTAGACACACAAGACTGGGCAGCCAAGAGAGAGGGCGATAGCTTGGGCGTCCCAGCCAGTGAGAGAACATATGCTTCATTACGAGCGATAGGGTAAAGGAGGTAAAGTAGAGGGAAGACTCATCATTGCCTAAGACCAGCTCCTCCTCTCAGAGCCAAGACCAGGTGGAGGACAGAGCCGCCTAGAATCTTGTAGTCAGCAGCTGTCTTCTCATCATTCATCTGTTTGCCACTGTAGATGAGCCGCTGCTGCTGTGGTGGGATTCCCTCTTTCTCCTCCACACGCTCCTTGATTCGCTCCACCTTGTCTGTGGGTTCAATGTCAATGTCAATCTCCTTTCCAGTCAGCGTCTTCACTTTAATTAGCATCTTCTTTCCCTGTTGAGGCTGTAAGTTGATAAATTGACCTTCTATCCCATGAAATGTAATTTCTTTATTTTAAATTAATTAATTTTATTGGTACATTGAAGGTTTACATGGTAGTGACATTCATCGTTGGAAATTTATACCTTTACATAATCCATCTTGGTTCTTATTTGTTCCTGTTTCCCTGCCCTCCCTTCAACCCCTCCATCCCTTCCTATCTACAAAGACTTTGTTTCCAGTTTTTCTTTTTCTCATGTTAATTTCATTCCCATCTTTCTTTTCCCCATCCCTCCCATTTCCCCTTCCACTTTTCACTATTTCTTCCTATTTCACATTGCCTATTATACCTTTAGTCCTTATTTACACTTTCAGTTTCTCACATGAGAGAAACTATTCAGAATTTACACATATGTATCCTATATATTTCACTTAAGAGTATTGCCTCAATGTATATCCATTTATATATAAATGTCTCAGGTTTCTTATTCTTTATGAGTGAGTAGTACTCCATCTTATAAAACACACACACACTCACACACACACACACACACACACACACACACACACACATTTTCCTTATCCAGTCTCCTGTTGATGGGCAGCTGGGCTGCTTGCAAGTTTTAGGTATTATGAATTGTGCTGCTATGAACATTGGTGCACTTATATCACTGTGGTATGATTCTTTTAATTCTTTGGGAAAGATACCTAGCAGCAGAAAAGCAGGGTCAAATAGGACTTCTAATCCTAGTTCTTTGAGGTATCTCCATATTGATTTCCACAGTGGTTGCACCAGCTACACTCCCACCGGCAGTGGAGCAGGGTTCCTCTTTCTCCACAGCCCCCCAGAATTTGTTATTGGTTGATTTCACGATGGCAGCCATTCTTTTTTGGGTGAGGAGGAATCTCAGTGTTGTTTTTATTCACATCTCTTTAATAATCGTTGATGTTGAACATTTTTTCATACGTTTATTTGCTATTTCTACTTCTTTGAACATGTCTATTCATTTCAGATGCTCATTTTTGGATTAGAACTTTAAATTTGGGGGTCTGATTTTTTTTTAAGATCTTTATATATTCTAGATAGTAGACCTTTGAGAAACAGCTGGTAAAAAGCTTTTCCCACATTGTGGGCTGTGTCTTCACACTATTGGTTGTTTCTCTTGCTGTGCAGAAGATTTTTATTTATTATTTTTTTATTAAAGATTGCAAACATACATCACAATAAGAAATGAAGATACTAAATAAAAATTTCAAATATACATATATATGACAGCAAAAAAGGATATGAAATAAAAATTTATGCAACACAGACTGATAATTCAAATACATTATTAGTTTGATATGATCTTCAAACTATACGTTCTTTCTCATTTTGTTTTCATATATTTTTAAAATAATGTATTTACAAATAAAACAAAGTTGCAAATTATAGTTGAGAAATGGTTCTCAAAATTTTATGATTTATAAACTCCTTGGTTTTATTAATTTGAAATCATATGCTTGATTTTATCACTTACATTTTCTAACAAAACTTCCCACAGAAAAGAAATATACTTATATTTGAAATCCAAAACCAATTTAAAAAGTTCACATTTTTAAGATCAGATTTTTCTGTTTCTATTTTATTATATCCCATACTTATTTTTATTATATTTTATAAGCATAATGATAGAATTTAACACCAATACATATGTAATATTCTTCCCAAACAAATAACTATGAATTAAATCAAGCATGTAATTTAGAGAAATCATAAGGTTGCCAGAGAAACTATCAATATGCCAAATGTGCAAAATCCTACCACATTCATAACCATGTTTATCATTTAATAGTGCACACATATGTGTAAAAACATACCCCTCACACATATACACAATGCATATTTTCTACAAGACAATATATACTTTAGTATAATAAAACAGTACAGTGATGTGTGGAATGTTTGTGATTTGTGTGATTTGGGAAAAACAAATACCATCTTTGAGGCAGTTGGAGAATTTGTAATATGCACCAGATACTGAATGATATTAATGACTTATTATCCATTTATTTAAGTATAGTTATGATAACATTTACTTAAAAATTAATATATGTTATTAGTAGAAAATAGGTACAAAGATATATTGATAACATAACAAAATTTGTCTTAACAAATTTCCAATCAAACAAGCTGTAGTGACAGAAAAGGAAGTTTGCAGAAGGCAAAGATGAGAGAGGAGAATGATGGATTGACCTTAGTACTTTTCATAGTACTCATATATACGGATTTCATAAATTCTCAAATAAAAAAGCAAAGAAAATGAGAACCAAAATAACATCAATTTGGTAGAGCAACTTATAAAGACAAGGATTAATGTGTTGATAAATTTTTAAAATATGAACTGTAAAGCCGAAATTTAGCTCAGTTGTGCTGCACCTGCCTAGGCAGAACAATGTGCTGAGTTTAATCCCCAGCACCAGGGAAAGAAAAAGAAAAAAGAAAAAAAAAGAGAAAAGAGAAAAGGAGCATATGTGCTTTCTAACATACTCGATAGATTAAAAATAAATTGTTTATTATCTCTTCCTCTTGAATTGTTCCCTTCACAAGGATGTAGTGTCCTTCTTTGTCTCTTTCAATCAGTTTAGGCTTGAAATTTACTTTGTGTGTGAATAAGATTGCTATCCCTACTTTTTTCTGGGCTCCTGTTTCATGAAGAAGTTTTCCATCCTTTCACTTTCAGTCTATAGGCTTCTTTTTGCACTAGGTGTGTCTTGTATACAATATATTATTGGATTTTGCTTCCTCATCCATCTGCCAGTCTATTTCTCTTGATTGGTGAATTGAGGCCATTGATATTGATGGATATAAATGATATGTACTAACTTATTGTTGTCATTTTTTTTTTTTTTTTGCCTTCTCCTTTTAGTTTCTTACCTTGCCCAATGATTTGCTCTGTTGGGCCTCATTGTGTTGTTGCCTTCATTGTCTTTTTCTAGGATCTTGTTTAGAATTACTTGTAGTGTTGGTTTGGTATTCATGAAGTTTCTCAGGTGTTCTTTATCTTGGAAGTGTCTTATTTCCCCATCCATCTTGCAGGATACATCATTCTAGGTTTTACAGGAAAGTTTTGCAGGATACATCAGTCTAGGTTGGAGGTTGTTTTCTTTTAGTACTTGAGATGTCTCATTCCAGGCTCTCCTTATCCTAAGGGTTTGTGTTGAAAAGTCTGCTGTAATTCTGATGGGCTTTCCTTTGCATGTGATTTGTTTCTTATCTCTTACTGCTTGTAGTATTTTGTTCTTCTGTTGGGTTTCTGGGATCTTGATTATCATATGTCTAGGTGTAGATTTTTTTTTCATCACATCTAGTAGGAGTCCTATATGCCTCACTTATCTGTATGTCAAATTCTTCCCCTCTGTTTGGGAAGTTTTTTATAATTAATTCTGTGAACAGCTTTTATAAGTCATTTACATTTTCTCCTGCTACTTCTTGGATTCCTATCTGCCTTATGTTATTCTTCTTTGCATCGCCTAAGAGTTGTTGAATCAATTTCTCATGATCCCCTACTGTTTTTAAGAGACCTCTCTTTTCATGGTCACTAACTGTAATTTTATCTTCTTTATCTGAGATTCTATCCTCAGACTCTTTTATTCTGTTGCAAACACCCTCAATGGAGTTTTTAATCTCCTGGATATCTGTTTGAATCTGTCCTATGGATTCCATTTCTTTCTTATATTGGGCATTTGTTTCCAATTCTTTCTTATGCTGGGCATTCATGGCTTCTATCATGGTCCTGAGGTCATCTATTTTCCTCTGAGTTTCAGTTCTAGAGTCTCCAATTATAACTCATTTTGCTCATCATCTCTATGATTATCTGGGAAATTATTTCTGTTTTAAATTTCTGTAGAGGCTGATTGATCAGTTTTGTTACTTCCTGTGCTTTGAATTCAGGGTGTCCTGATGGTTCACTGTTAGACTTTCATCCTCATTTGCCCCACTGTTTGCTATTGGTGAACTGGAAGTCTGTCCCTGTATCTTGCTTAAGCATTTTCTCATTTTTTCTCTTGTTATTGGGTTGTCCTTAGTTCAACCTTTAGGTTATTGCTTAAAACCTCCTGATATAGTTGGGCTTCAGCCCATGGTCTCTAATGACTCACAGACATTCTTATTTTCATAGTACAGAATAAAACAGCTCATTGAGTCAATCACAAACCTTTATCCTAAACGATACAATCAGCACAACAATATGATCAAGTACAACTTGCAAATTGACCACTTGTGGTAGTCATCAGTCTATCACCTTCAAACCATGTGAATTAAATTAAAATCAAGAAGCAATCCAAAATATGTTTGCAGTGAATAAACTTTTCAATAAGGATATTTACCATGTAGGATGGGGGCTTAATACAGAGTTAGGACAAGAGGAATAGATAAGTAAAAGAATTAGAGAAGGTTTCACATGAAACCAGAAGTAGAGTGACCACACAATCGTCAGGAAACTGTTAAATTCAAAAGGGATAAACAGAATAGAAGTATAATAACCCTTGAGTGTGGTAGAATGACATAAGAAAGGAACATAAAGAAAAGAGAAAAAAATAATAAAAGAAGAAATCTGAGGATAGGAGCAGAAACAAAAAGGGACATGCGGTATAATATGGTGGAGCAAGAGACTGAGTTGGAGAAAGAGGACAGGAAAAAAAAAGAATTTGCAGAGTGTAATGAAAAAAAAACAAAGAAAAAAATGAGCTTGAAGGGCCTCTTTCAGGCTATATCACTGCTGTCATAATATACTATGTGTGCTGCCATGTACAGAGCCAAGTCCCTGATCTCAGCTAGCTGGTGACATGTCTGAGACATTTCTGTTCATTTCAGATGCCAATTTTTGGACTGGAAATTTAAATTTGGGGGTCTGATTTTTTTAAGTGCTTTATACATTCTAGATAGTAGACCTTTGAGAAACAGCTGGTAAAAAGCTTTTCCCACATTGTGGGCTGTCTCTTCACATTATTGGTTGTTTGTCTTGGCTGTGCAGAAGATTTTTCATAAGAAATGAT